TTTAGTTTTCAGTGATAAGTTGTTGCCTAGCTCATGTTAGTTTTGATTTAATTGAAGAGATGGAAAAATCAGGGTACTTAAAGTATCTCTCATTTTGTCAAAGCAACATTTTACGCCTTTTGGCCCAAGAACACATGCAATCCTGGTGGATGCACAAATCTCCACAACACTTACTGTAAAGGTAAGACTTGTGCTCCTTGCTGTTGACTTAATATTGCATTTAAATAAATAATTGATATAAATAAAACATGATCAGGTTACTGGGAAACATGTACCGTTTAGTTACAACAGGTAGATACATATACAGTGAAACATCCAGGATGGTGTGTACACAGAACTAGCAGTTTATAATTATGCTCAGTAATAACTGAATGAAGTCAACTCACCATTTTTCTTTATAAGGAACATTATTGTTACATCCTGAATTCTAGTCTTCAGTCCAAGCTTTAGAAAATGAGAAACAAATGGAAACTATCAGAAAGAGGGAAGAAATAATTGCTTAAACAAGTAATTCAATGTTAGCATTGACATGTACATGTAATTCTTGAAAACCATTGAAGACCATCAGGTTTATCAATTTGGCCAATAATTACAAAGTCATTATTTGGTAATAATTATTAGGCAACTTGTCATACATGTAAATCAAGGCCAACAGACATAGTTAATTTTGGGAAATACCCATTACATCTTAAAGCACTTTTAATTTCTAGAGGTCAAAGGGACTGCATTAATTCCCGTAACTTACCAAACAGTAAACAAGGGGCACATAGACATGTTGATATAGATATCGAGGCACCCACTGTTGATTCCACTTTATCCGTCTTATATCCGGATGCTGACAAACAATTGATGCAGAAAGGAATGTCAATAAATTATTGTTTAGCGAATGAAACAGCCACAAGAAAACTCTGGATATAAAACTGATACAAGCAAATAACTGCAAAATTTAAGCATATTGAATAAAAATTATACATGTCTATAAAGTTCTTTTTTTTTTAATTTCAGTTAATTTTTATTATTCTCAAACAATATGTATGTAATTATTACAACTGTTTGTAGGAAGAATATCACAAGTTGACAGCAGCATTGATGAGTATAGTTTTAGCTTGTTTGTTTGTAAATAGGAAACAGTTTTACTAATTTATTTTCTTTGTACTTACATCCTCAGTTGTGACGATATCAGGATCCAAGCCGTCAATGTTGGTGTATGGATGATGACCAAATGCATGCTAATGATACCAACATAATTAATGTTATGATTTAATTAACAAATAAAGAAGCCTAAGCCGTGTATTACACTGTGTTAAAACACAATGGGCATTTGAGAACACCAGGGAAATGTAGAAAACACGAGCCAATAAACTGATAAATCAATAAAGATTTTACATGTCCTCCGATAGCTTGACAAAACGCGACTTCTCAACTGTTTTTCCTTCTTCTTCTTTATTTAAGTTAACCTTGTCTTCAAAACTTTCTGTTGCTTCGTTGAGAATGCCATCACAAATTTCTTGTTTTTCACCATCTCTAAAAAAATGTTGACTAGAGGTAATGTGGTGAAAAACAATAAAACGCACTTTTTCTATGCTTTAAATTCTGATAAAACATGGGTTTTTTGACCAATCAGAGCACGTGCAAGGTCCTATATATGTTATAAACTGTTTTAAAAAATTGCATCAACACGGTTACGTGATCCTAGGGTCAGTTACAACTCCACTAAAACCTGAGCGTTGAAAACCAGAGGTAATGCATGTGCCTGCAGATTTTGTTTAACAATAATGGCCAAGTAACACTGATTTGGTTTTTATTCAATTGTGTCAAACGTCAAGTTGACCAGAAAAATTCTGAGATCTTGATGAAATTTTCCACTACAGTGTATAAACCAACAAAATGTCCACTCTAAATAACACACTAATCGCACCCCCTGTGATACTCTGAGTTAAAAAAATAAGGCAACACTAAAACAGCCTGGAAGAACACGTGACATTAGGAGGATATTAATACTAACATGCATTTTACAAAAATTCTCCTTTCTTGTATGCAAATTGCCCCTTTAACCATTTCAAACAATATTCCCACTAATAACATATTACTTTATAATTATGGACAGAGACAATCTATATGCTACCCATTATCTTAGAGATCATTCTGATAATGAGTCTGGATAATACAATGAAGAAGTTAGACTGTCACATAAAGCAGACTGAAAATGGAAACCTTCTATTGATGTACAGTGTATGCCACCATATGCAGTGTATGGGAACTCTTAAATGAACCAAACTAAAAACAAATTGAGCCTTAGTGACAAATTAACACTAACCTGATAAATCCAGATATAGAATGATGCACCATTTAAGAAGTCATGTATATGACCAACTACTCTCCACAATATAGGATGACTGGTCACAGCACAGTGGCTTAAAGTTCAAAACAACAGAAAATATTACTACAATCATATAAACTGAACAGGCCTTTGTCCACCAAAAGAGGTTAGAAGTGTCTTATGNGATAAAGAGAGGTTATAATGACCCATCCAAATTTAACTGCTGGAAACTGTTTTGAGCCACCTTAACCTATAATTTTACATCATACACAAAACTGAACACAATATTGTTACGGAAGTTGCAGGTTTTAATAACATACAATTTTCAAACAGGATTAATGAAACTACAAAATTATTTGTAAATGACAAGACTTTGCAAAGTTTCTTGTTTATTGCATGCTTATCACTCTCATTTGTACCTGATCAGTTTCCTTGAAATATTTTTTGACCCTGTCTCTTACTGTTTGATAAAAGAGGCTGCAGGTAAAGAAAATTAGCAATTTGTTAGTAATCTGACAAATTTAATCTAATTTTTTATATTAATATACAAGGCTAAAAACTAAGTTTTTAACTTATTGTTATCATCAACCCTCATGATGACAATAAGTTGAAAATGTTTGGTTTTATAGTCTGCAATTTTTCTGGTTATTGGCCTTGTACAAACAAAATGTGCATGTACAAACTTTTACCTCTTTTAGTGCATTATGTAGAACAAATTTTACTGTTCTTTCTGTATTACAACTGTTACTCACAATGACGTCTCTGTAAGCAAATTATCAAATAAATTCAGTTTCTAAGAAGAATAAATGTGATAATCAATTTATAAACCCTCTCGAACACATGTATGTGCACACATACCACTTTTTCCCACCCAACCTCCTCAATCTACCTCCTCCCTGTTCTGCACTCACTAGATGCCAGTTTCTAGTGAATGGAAAGCCTCCGGCCAGCTAAGCGAGATACTTGTAGATTCATGATTTTTCTATCCAAAAGCTTTTCTTTTTTGGTCACACTGGGTAACATCAAAAGGTGCACTCACAGCCAAAGGCTGAGCCATTTGCTAACCAATATACCTGCCAATCTGACAGTATTGTGTTACTGAGTCTTGAATTCCTTTAGTGATTAATTTGTTAATTGAAAAACTGTTATACCATACCTATTAAGTAGCTGCCTAACCTTAATTGATGACCTCATAGAGAAAGAGATTATTGACAGTAAGATGGAAATTAAACATAGTGCCATTAACTTACCCACGTTCCGGAAATGTAGGTAACTCATCTGAGATCAGCTCTCCAACATAATACTTTTCCAAGACCCTAATCGAGACAAAAGGTACAGTTGTGTGTTAAAGGTTTATAGCTACCATCCTTCGTGAGCATAGAAGACTTATATGAACTTGTTCTTCCTGCAGAACATTAGATCAACGATGGGGTTAATTGGTTGGCACAGTGACAGAATGTGGTGTCCACTAGCTACATGTACATTACACAGTTCATTTTTCTGGCTAGAGAGAGAGGCATAAATAGAAGGCAGGGCTGTTGTAAAGCTCTTGTCATGACCCCTTGAACATAAGGGTACCACAACTCATACATTTAAAAGTGAAAGGGGAAGCACAGCAGAGGAGAGCTGGAGTGGCAGGAGGAAGGATGAAATGGGAAAAGGGGGAAGAGCAGTAGAAGGCTGGATGGAAAGGAGGCTGTTGGGTGAGGGAGGGGTGGAAAGATGACGACAGATGAGGGAGAGGGGGTAGGTAACAGAGAGCAGATAGAAAGAGAGAGGGGGAAGGTGGGGTGATAGAGAGAAGAAAGAAGGGAAAGACCAGGAAAGGTGGAAAAGGAGGGAGCAGGAGAGGGAGAAAAAAGATTGGGGTGGGGAGGGCTGAGAGTGACACAAAGGAGAGGAAAGGGGAATGAGAAAGAGAAGAGGGACTTTATACAGAGGCTGGGCTAACAAAATTATTATTCCTACATTTCTTATGGATCACAAGTTAGAAATTCATATAAGCCTGTAGTCCTTCTGCTTTCCTGACCCTTTCATTCTCACCTAACCTAAAAGCATCTCACCTCAATGTAGAGAGCAATTTAACAATAGTCTTGATTTCATTGGCTGGAGTGGACAATTATATTTTCATTGCACCAGCATGAGCTTGTTTCATAGGCCAGCTCAATAATGTTGCTGCTATTTTCTGAATAACTGAGACCCTAGCTAAGCAATGACTATCTGAAACACAGATAAGCAATGACTATCTGTCTGTCTGTCTGTCTGTC